TAATGACTGCCCGCATTTTAGCTTGGGCATCCTGAGCCACCTTTTGCTACATTTCCTTTTCCTCTTCTTTTCTCTTTATCATATGCAATACCTTCTGCAGTCCATGCTCAGTTTCAGTTACGTTAGTCATCCTTCAAAGCCAGTCAAAGAAAGGGGATGAGATATACCTTGACTTTAGCAAGGCTTTTCGATACAGTCTTCCAGAACATTTTTGCAAGCAAGCTGAGAAAATATGGGTTGGATGAATGGACTGTATGGTAGATAGAAAGCTAGATTGTCTGATTTCAGTAGTAATCAGCAATGGGTAGTAATTAGTTGTTCAATGTCTAGCTGGCAGCCAGTATCAACTGGAGTACCCCAGGGATTAGTCCTAGGCCTGGTTTTGTTCAATATCTTCATTTATGATCTGGAAGATGGGATGGATTGCACCCTCAACAAGTTTGTGGATGACACAGACAGGTGGGGTGTAATAGATACACTGAAGGATATGGCTAGGATTCCAAGAGACCTAGAAAAATTAGAGTATTGGGCCAAAAGAATTCTTATGAGGTTCAACAAGGACAAGTGCGCTTGTGACGGAAGAATCCCATGCATTGCTACAACCTGGGGACTGACTGGCTAAGCAGCAGCTCTGCAAAAAAGGGTCTGGGGGTTATAGTGGACAGTAAAATGGATATGAGTCAGCAGTGTGACCATATAACCAAGAAGGCTAACAGCATACTGGGCTGCATTAGTGTTGCCAGCAGATTGAGGGAAGTAATTATTTCACTCTGTTCTGCACTGGTGAGGCCACATCTGGAGTACTGCATCCAGTTTTGGGCCCCCCAATACAGAAAGGATGTGGACAAGTTAGAGAGTCCAGCAGACAGCAACAAAAATAGTGGCTGGAACGCATGACTTACAAGGAGAGGGTGAGGGAACTGGGTTTATTTAGTCTGCAGAAGAGAACTGAGAAGGGATTTAATAGCAGCCTTCAATTACTTGAAGGGTAGTTCTAAAAAGGATGGATCTAGACTCTTCTCAGTGGTGGCAGATGACAGAACAAGAAGCAATGGTCTCAAGTTGCAGCAAGGGAAGTTTAAGCTGGATATTAGGAAACACTCTCAGGGGTGGGTGGTGCAGCACTGTAACAGATTACCTAGAAAGGTGGTGGAATCTCTGTAACTGGAGGTTTTTAAGGCCCAACTTGACAAAGTCCTGGCTTTAATGAAGTAGTTGGGGATGGGTACTGCTTTCAGCAGGGGGTTGGACTAGATGGTCTCCTGAGGGTCCCTTCCTACTCTAATTTTCTATGATTCTCTGATTCCTTGCAACACTGCCGTCTGTGCCTTAACATTCTCTATTTATCGCTGTAATAAATACTGACAGTATTTATCCTGCTAACTCTGCACTTCTACCTTTTGCTGTGCCAACTCCCCAGTCATTTCTTCAGCTACTATGAGCAGACCCTATAATGCTGCTTGCTTCTTAGTCTTTTTTTCTCAGTGGATTTTTTCCAGAGGCCATCAAGAAAAAAAATCTTCTAGAGCAGTGGTTGTCAACCGGGGTATGTGTACTCCTGGGGGTACTTTGAAAGGTCCCAGAGGGTACATGGGGGTGGGGAGGGATGGAGTGCTGCCACCCTGCACTGCTGCCTCACAGGAGCAGGGCCGCACAGACGCTGTGCTGCTGCCGCTCGTCACACCCAGCTGCTTGCCACTTCCTCCCCACTCGGCATCCGGCTGCTCGCCACCCCCTGTACCCCAGGGGTACACTTACTAAAAAGGGGGCCACTGGGGGTACACTTATTAAATGAGGTTGAAAACCCCTGCTGTAGAGCACTGTTCTTGTTCTCAAATGTCCCCTTGTCCCAAAACCAGGGCATGGTAGGCTCTGGCACCCATTTGTCAAACTCTTCTACTTCTGTTGCCGTGGTGTTAGTTTTGGAAGGGTGAAGATCCCTAACTCAGATACTTCCTACTTGCCTGTGATCCTGTATGGTCCCCTCTCCCTGCTAGTCAAGGTTGCAGCCCTTGGAGTCCAGGCAGGTTCAGTAAATCTGGAAATTCTAATCTCTGTCCACTCAAGCCCAATTAGGGATACCAAATCTGTTGCACTCTTTTTGATTAAGGGATGGTGTGAATGGAACAAATTAATCCATGAGATCTATTCCAATCTCTAATCCTAATTTTTTGAGCACTTCAGTGATCACACTACTCAAACAAAACCCCCAACAGTTTGCAAAGGGATTTTTACGCAGACCGTCCAAACAATGCACAATGACTTAGCTGCCTCAATGTTGTCACGGCACTGGATTCAGTTTTGACTGGTGTGGTCTCGTCTTGCTTGATGACAGCTCCTCAAACTTAAGTTTTTTTTCCTATAGGTTTTTATACCCTTTTACAGCCCTCTTCTGTATATTCCATATATGGTCATGCTATAGATTCTCATCACTTACCTTTTACAGCAGTTATTTCCTCATCAGTCTGTCACCATCTGCCTGTTTCTTTTTAACTTCCCACTTACTGAGCCATCCTTGGTCTTGTTTTGCTTTTCTATTTTATCTTGGTTTTTAATGCTCTACAGCTATCTACATCTTGTTTTGCCTACAATGGTCGTCTTTATTGCTGCTGTGCTCATTTTGTTTGCATCTAACAGTGTCCGTTTGGAAAAAATGACATCAGTTGTCAAGGCAGCTTACAGGCTTATGCCCCTACCACCGTTTAGTGAAATCCAAGATGAGGTGTTTTTTCCCTCATGTTAAATGGGAGGGGGAGGGGGGAAGTTAGATTTAAATGCATATGATATTCACTTTCTTGTGCTGAACTTTGCTTCTACTTAACTGCTGCAGAGGTGGTTAGTCAAGTTGCACTCAAGTCAGGCAGAAGGGAGGGCAGGGTCATATTTCAGAGTCAAATTGTTTCAGAGTCATGACCTTTTATAGGCTAGCAGCTAGCAAAGGGGGTTGTTGGGATGGGCTGCCTCTCTGAATCACTTAATCTCAAAGATGCCACTGTACCCTACCTTCTGCCTCTACAAAACTGCTAGGAATTCAGCCATACCTTCCTTCCCATGTAAACTCAGTTCTCAGTGTACAATTAAGGCATTGATTCTCAACCAGAGTGCCCTGAGACCCTTTTATAGGTGCCTTGAAATGCTGTACAATATTAGCACTATTAGGTTTGTACATATAATTCACAAGATAAACTGAGAGATTTCAAATAGGAAATCCGTATCGTCAAACCCATTCTAAGCTGTTGTAGTATTTCCAAGTTCCTTGCAATAGAAGAATTAGTCTATATTTTCTGTAGTCAAAAAAATAATGTGGAAGCTAAGAGCTGACATTTTCTGAGGGATATGTTGAGTATAACAAGGGGTGCCTTGAGTCTGCAAAGATTGAGAACTATTGAATTAAGGATTTAACCTTCAATTTACAGTAGTTTTTCTACTTCTACACTGATTTAATGTGTAGAATGGAAAGAGGCTTCATCCTGAGTTGAGGATTATCTCTACTCAATTCACTTCTCCACTTTTCTCTTTTATTACTTCTAGGATTGTATTGTAAATGTGTCTACATTGCGATGTAACCGAGAAATACCTGTACTCAAGCTAGCTTAATTTAAAACTGATTTGAATAAATCTAAGCTGTAGTAGCTTGTATATTTGTGGTTTATTTTTATCCAGGGCAACCTGTATTCAGTTCAAGGGCTAAGATAATTTCCTTTTTCCATGCAGTTGGATTTTGAATTTTTTTTTAAATTACATTATTTCAGTCAAATTCACAGTATTAAAGCAAAGTAATTTATCCATAAGAAAAACAAATTGTATTATAGAACACCAAGTCAAATGACTAAATCCTGGTATTTGTAAGTCCCCAAATAAGACACAAATTGAAGACCTTATTTGTGGTCTTCCTCTTCTGATTTAAATGAGATCACACATGTACCATCAGCAGAGCTTCATATTTAGTTATGTTGCATAAAGTGCAATTTTGGGAAAATACTGTATTTTCTTAATACTCCTACATAACCAAGTGTTTGAATCCCTGCCTCAAGTGTAGAACTCAGGTCAAACATAACTATAGAAGAATTGAAGCTTCTACAGTTGTTTTGGCTTTTTTTAAAAGCTGTTCCTATCCTCTGTAGCTTTGTCAAAATAACTAATTTGAAGTGTTCATTTTAATCTATAAGTAAAAATACTGTGTTGTGTTTTTTTCCTGGTTAGTTGACACTATAACTAATAATTACTTAAATTTAATATAAGGGGGAGCAATGTTGCTCAGGACTGGAAGCCATGGTTGGTCGAAGAGTTCCCAAGATGATGTACATCATTGAATGTAGCTGCACATCAAGTTTGGTGCATGGTGACCAGTTCCAGACAGGAGTGCAGTACTCTGCCACAGAGCACAAGATGGCAAGAGCTGACATCCTTAGGGTTAAGGCTCTTGTACCCCACAATGACCCAGCCAGATTGTTAAGGATATTGTTATGTGCCTTAACTTTCATTGCTGTTTTTTTTCAAGTGTTCATGATGGTTCCGAATCTGGTGTAGCGTTATACTTAAGAAGTAATTGAAATTTGGGGTAGAGACTGTTAAAATTAAAATCTAATTTAAAATTTCTTGTCCAACTTCATGCAGAATTTTCGACTAGAATAGGTTTAGATGTCTTATTTCTATTGATCTGCAACAATGGCTGTGGATTAGATTTCTGCTTGTTGGTTCTGTCTCAGTTTTGTAAAATGTGTTAGATTTTGTGAACCAAGTGAAATATTTTGGCAATTGTGTGGGAGATGATAACTTGCAGTCTTGTTTAACCTAATTAAAGATGTTTTCAGAAGAGAAGGTGCAGTTTAAAAGTCATTGAACTTGGATGCGAGAGGTTATTTAAAAGAAAACTGCATTTACCTTTTCAGTTTTGAATAACAGATGACTTTTCTTTGATGTCTTTCTTTTGAATTCTTTCTTTAACTTATCTTTTTAGATAGAGGTCTATTTTTTCTTACCTTTGTTGTTTTAAATAGAACGATATGACAACAGCACGGTTACAGTGGGAAGAAATTCTTATGCCATTGCTCAAGAAGTACAAGCTCAACATAACTTGGGGTGATCAGGATCTATTGAATATTATATTTTTTCATAATCCAGGTAAATCTTTTACTTTAAGTATTCATGCTACAATTGTAAGATACATTTTTTCTAAATTCATTAAAATTACCATTTCAGTAGAAAATTTTAAGTGAATAAGTTCCAAATAGCATTTTGTTTTGTTTTAAAAATGCTTTTCGTAATACTTTTGACACTTGCTTGTTAACTAAATATCAGTTATTTAAATGTTGTTTAATTCTAACAATTTATTAAAAAATAAAAACAAATATGCTGTCAACAAGATGTTATCTTAACATGATAAATATTTGTGTTATCCTAAGTGTTTCATTGTTAACTATGTATTATGTGTTTTTTGAATAGAAAGCCTTTTTGTCTTCCCTTGCCAATGGAATTATCGACCTGACCACTGCATTTATGGAAGCAATTGTAAGGAAGCTGAAGAAGAAGGAATATTTATCTTACATGGAAACAGAGGGGTTTACCATGATGATAAACAACCAACTTTTAGAGCTATATATGAAGCAATAAAAAATGTAAGTAACTATGTAATTCATACATCCACATGTATAGAATTATTTTCAATATATTCATTTTGAAGTAGGATATATTTAATAGGATTTGTTTAAATTTAACCTGATATTAATTCATTTTTCTGGCATTACATAAACATCTTAGCTGTAAATAATTAACACTTTCAAACTATCTACAGTGCAGCTCAATTTTCAGTCTTTTGCTATAATGTCAGGGCAACTTGTTAGTTCTGTTTCAAAACTAACATTTTAGTGTGTTGAAGTGTTTTTGTAGGTAAGGAATCTCACTTTACATGTATTTCAAGACCATATGTTCACTCTCTTATAATAGTTAAATGAAAATGTGTAGGAAACTATATAATATTTGTATAAGGCTATTGCATTACATAGAGACTGTATTTCCATCTTTGTGAGGCACTATGCAAACCAGAAGAGATGTTCTCTGCCCCAAAGATGGTACAGTATATTTAGATTTTGATTATAAGGTGTATTTTCATGTTGGGAAACAGTCATGTTGTATCATGTTGTTATAATCTGTCCTGCAAAATAGGTGTAAAATACATGGTTATCGCTTTAAGGTTTTTTTTGTTTGCCAAGTGCGTTGGATTCATTTTATTTTGCAAATAAGACTTCTAATAAACTATTTATTACTACATCAGTATACTCACTGAAGAGTTGTAAAATTTAGCACTGATGTGCATTTTAATGTGGAAGACTCGTGTATATAACCTTCAAAAATCAATAGTATATTTTAATGGTACTTTATTACAGGTTGTCGTATGGTTATAAAAATGAAGAAAAGTACTTTTGGGGGTCTGAGAATACACTGCACAGAAAGCAAATGTGTTCCCATAAAAATGCGATTTCTTTGTTTCCTTTGAGCATTGTCAAAAGAAAAAAAGAAATTTCTTTCCTTTTATTTATGATCCCATTTGGTTTATGAATATGCTACAAAGTGTATAAAACAACACTGAACCAATGATTATAAGATTAGCAAGATTATTCTACATTGAAATGTTGGTTTTGCATATAATTTGCGTATATCTTTATAAAACAAAAGCTGTAGCGCTGTATTTTTCAGGTCCGCATTAAATACTGTATATGGTTGACCATCATTCAATGTAATGACGTTGTTGTCTTTAGCAGAACTACAGATTACTCTTTTCAATGTTATTTCAGTGCAGCTCCAAAAGAATTGTAATTTTTTTTTAAAACTATATTTATATTGGAATAATTACATATTTTTCAGGCCAGATCTCAAAAACAGTGGGAATATGACCAAGGGAATAACCCTTGGACTATTTTAGATTTTTAGAGCTTGTTCTTAATTTGTTTGCCTGACTGTGTATGTTAGTTTTTCATTTTGTCTAAGCAAAAAATGTTACATGTTGCTTTGTTAAACCACAGTCAGCAGAAGTGTTTCATTAGTGAAAATGTACTCTCAGCATTTGAGAGATTTTTATTATATATTACATTCGAAACAAAGTGTCCAAAGAGTTTAAAGGCATGAATTATTTAATGACCATGGTTTTATTTACTCGGATTTGTGTTGTAAAGATGGATATTCCAAAATAACAATAAAGACACTTTCATCACTCTTACGATATTTTAAAAAAGGAATCACGTTTCTACTACCTGACCTTCCTATCCTTTCTAATTCTTTCCCTAGTATTCGTTTGGAAAGGACCTGGTTCATTCCCTGTTACAGCCTCTAGAACTGGAACTGCAGAGGACAATGCATACCTATTGTGGAAGAATATACAAAGTATTCATAAAACAGTTAACCAAAAGCATAGGAGATGTTGGTATCAGAAGATCAAAGGGAAGTTGATTTTCACTATGAACTCACAAAACTGAATTAGAACAATAACGGTGGATTGCACGTATAACGTAGGGAGGTTACTCAGTGCAAGAGCCATATATATAATATGGCTTGAGTCAACTGTTCCTAATGTGTGCAGGTAAATGTTTACCAGCGTTTATGAAATGAAGAACTTGTTTGCTGGATAAAGAATAGGAATGCCATCCTGCATTGAAGACATTTCTGATTCTTTTGAAGCTCAATCTCAGCTAATTCTTATTCCGGTTCTGATGAATATATGAGTGTTACTGACTGTTATAGTCAGTAGTTTGAGTTTGCATAATTCCATTGTCTGTAATGCTCAAGTGAGAGACAGAAATGAAGTTTCTTTTTTTTTTTGGTGGGGGGGAAGTGTACCTCCATATATAATCTGATATTCTCTTAAACTGTGAATGTAGCAATAATTGAGTCTGCACTAACCTCACTTTAAAAGTGCGAGAACCAAGTTGTTTACAGGGCAGAAATTATTCTGTTTTCAAAGAAATGTGATATAACTATTGACAATCTGTATGTGCCTTTGTGTTCATCTCACACGTTAAAATACTGTTTTGACAATCATGTTTTGTGTATTTTAGATGCAAACTGCACATTAAGTTTTCAGAGTAAGGAGTAACTAGTGTAGGTAGAACTAGTTTCCCCAACTTTAGATTGATACTTTCTTTTATACAGCATTTATTAAGTGGCTGTTGAGCCATCTTGCCCAAATATTCCAGCTAAGTTGTTTTGGTTTTTTTGTTTTGGTTTTACAGACATGCAATATGAGATTTTTTTTTTTTTTTCCTTTTTTGTTTTAAACACTTTTATTAATGCTAGTGAGATGTTTTTGCAACTTTACTGGGCATTCTGGAAGCAGAAACTATAATGGAAAGTTGCTTCTATCCTATTTCACTCCCAAGTGTTACTACATTTTAAAATATTACAGATATTTTAAGTTGATGGTGAATGTCTATAGTGGGTTTTTTAATGGTTCACCAAAATGCATATATTGCAGGCTTCCTATGGGAAATTAGGTAGTAATCATAAAAATATGTCTTGTTACTTTCTTTTATATCTTTGTTTTGTTTCTTTTTGGATTGGTGCGGTCCTCTGTCTCGCGCTACATCCTCAAACAACTTTGCATATTGGTCAAGTAACAAAGCTTTAAAAAGTTGGCTTTGATCATTGACTTCAGTAGAGCTATACTAATTTATGCCAGTGGAGGGTTAGCGCTCTTTTTTAGTTTTCTCCACAAAAAACAGGTTTCATTACTTGCCAGATGTAATTTATTTCCATTTCATGGAGGAGAAACAAAGCAAGAAAAATATTATTGATTCTTAATATTAGCAAAATCTTACTTTAATCTTTGTCATGAAATGCTGTTAAGTAATACTTGAGTTGAATTTAAATAATTATTTCACCTCATGCTTTTTATAAGATGGCTTTTTCGTGGAGAGCTAGGGAGTTCCTTTGCTGCCTTCAGCCTAGAGAATTCTTTTCCTGTCCCCCGCCTTAGTTCCATGCTTTGACACTTTACATTGTGGTCATTCTTCTGTCTGAGAGTGACTGGCTCTAATGTCTTACAGATCCAGCTTGCTTGAAGGAGTCCCTTGAGCACTATAAAAACACATCCAGTATTGAGACTAGTGTCTCTTTTCTGTTTCCAGTCCCTGCTGGCCAGGGTACAATAGGTTGGGATGGGAAGTAGAAGCCAGAATGTTTCATGTGGAGCGAAAAACATTTTTTCCCTTTAAAAAATCTTTCTTGATTTGAAGCCTATATGAAAGCACTGTAAAGTTGCCTGATCTGCAGTATGTAATGCAATTTTTTTTATATAAACTGTTTTGTATCAGTGTGTCTTCAGTTTTTTTAACTTGTTGCTAGTATACTGTCTATTTGGAAATGCTTTATTATCCCATTTTTTTCACATTTCTATCTTACTGAAATCTGACTTGACCTTTTCATATGGCAGGATCTGTTTAAAGTTTGGGGATCTTTTTTTTAAAGGAAAATTTAAGAAGAGTTTAAGAGCTAATCCAGCATTTCCCACTTTATTTTAGTTCCTTTTCATACAAAGTACTTGTTTGGTACTGCATGCCACTCTGCCCCATCCCACCCCCTCCCCAAGAAAGGCTCAGGGTAGCTTACAATAAAAATAATTTAAAAAAAGATAAAATATTAAAACAGTAAGTGATCAGGTCATCATCATCATGTGGGTGTGTGTGTATGTACACACATGCAGCTTGGGAAATGTACGTTTCTGAAAAATGACCGAAAGACAATAGATGCCAACTAGCTGACTCCCACAGCCTGACTTGCTCTCTAGCTTAAATTGTATGTGTCCCATCCTGTCTCTTATATCTCGTCTCCCCCCCAGTTCATACTCTCTTAGGTCCTGAATAAAGTCATCTGAGCTACGGATCTAGAAATCTAACTTCCTGGCTTAGATAGCCCAGAAGGTAAAAAGGGGACTGGAAAGCTGGCCCTGCTGTGATAAAACGCTCTTATACTCCCTTAAGAAGTTATCAGACTTGTGTATTGGTATTTTTTTTCAGCCTGCAATTAAGCTGACTGGTGCTTTATAATTTTAGAAACCTGTCCTTTTCTGATGATATTGGCAGGTGTCATATTGACAGGAGACGCTGCTTTTTTTATAAAAATCATCTTGGAAATTAAATGCAGAAAGTCTACACTAATAGACAGTTAAGGCTTCTTGGGTGAACCCATAAAACATGTTTAAGATTTTGAGACTGAACAGACCAAGGTAATTTTGTCACCTTGTGGTATGTATTATGTATGCCTGTGCTCTAGATGCAGAGTATTAGAGAGGGAGAGAGGAAAAAATGCTTTTGGTAACTTGCTTATAATTCAATTTAAGCCGTGTCCTGAACTATTCTTGCAAGTTATTTTAAATACTTCAATTCAGAAAATGTGGTTAGGAAAAGATCTGTCTTTACATTTTTACAGCTGCTTTATCAAGGAGCTGTAGGAACTTTATGCTATAAAGGAAGGACTTAAATTTGGCAGATGGGTTTCGCTATTATCAAGGAGGTTCCCTTTGTTGTGCCTAAGAAAATCCACCCACATTTGACCAAGTTGTAAGCCCCTGGCATGTCTCAGTTCAAAAATGTTCAATAGAGATTTTACAGAGGTTGGTAGCTATAACAGAACCTGCACTCATAGAACCTGTGAGATTTGAGCATCACATGTGCACTAGGCTGTGTATGCTCCATGCCCACAGAGTGATTGAGAGTGGGCCTGCTCTTGTCCTACACACCTACTCTACAGCATCTACCATTGTAGGCAATACTTGGATGGAGAAAATAGTCTGACTCCAGTGTAGACACACAGAGGAATGGACTGGAGGGTTTAGCAGCCAGAAAGCTAAGGGCGAAAGGAGTAGTTGATGGGAATAAAGGTGGGAAGATGCAGTAACTTGGAGTGGATTGGAGCAGACGAGGGAAGAATATAAATTGTGTGGGTGTTAGGGAATATAGATATATAATTGCTAAAGCATACAACTCGGTAAGCTGGAACTGAATCCAAGACCCCTGAGTCTCAATGTTCTTTTGATGTTGATTCTCCTCTCATGGCTCATCTGTGCTCCTAATTAAACAACATTAGTTCAAGTGTATGTAGAGCCATAACCCATTTGGAGGCCAGTACACTGCTACAGGACAGAATAGGTTCTTGAGTTTGCTTTTTTTTTTAATGGAGATAGTTGCATACAAAAATTAACAGTTAGAATATTAATATTACAAAGCTAATTAATGCCTGAGGAATCTTATTTCAGTCCCTTTAGTCATATGCATTATAATCTTTTAAATAAAAACTAATTTCTTCCCACAGGGGTTCAGAATGAATGGGAATGAATTAAGCTTGTCTGATTTCCTGGGTCTGGTTCCTTTTGTCTGTTATGAGCTGGATTCAAACTGGGGAGGGTGCCCACTGCCACTCATTTAAAGAGCATTGTAGGAAGCCATTAATTTCCTTTATGGAACAAGGTTGCTGAACCAAAGTCTTTAGTCAAAACACAGAGATGCCCAAAACAAAGGTACATGTGAAAACTGCTCTAGAATTTGAACTCCTTCAAGTGTGGGGGGAGGTGGGGAGGAGTGAAGAAGAGAAACAGGAAAATTTTGAAGGAGCAGAAGGCCAAAGACACAGTCTGTACAAACTCTTAAGAGCATGGCTTCCTAGAAGCCTAGAGAGAGAACTTTCTGACCTGAGTGCCAACTGAGAGTTTCATATTCATAGGTCCAAGCCTTTGTCCAGTTTTTTTCCTCCTGTGTTGAGGGAAATAGGTTATTATACTTTGAAAATAAATAGGACTGTATGTGAGAAATTCCTCGTTCTGATGCCATCAGGTTCTTGTGTGCATTGAAACAACCAGCAGAATTCCCAAATTTGGCTAACCACCTGGATCCTATAACCTTTTCCTGATCAGAAGCCGCATAGCTATATTTATGCAGTGCTTGCCAGTTGATTAATTAGCTGTGCCTCAGATGAGCTAATTATCTTGAGGCACATCATCCTACAAACAGTTATGCTGTTTCAGTTTGGGAGGTGGTGTATACAGGAGCATAGTGGAATTAAGTACAGGATGGACGAGTTGCACACATGCCCTTTGCTTTGCTGATGGATTGTCAACCCTTTGCTATAACAGGAACACAGTTATAGAGCTGTAACTTTTCCTAGCTGATTTTCAAAACTGGATGGGGAAAAAAACCCATTTGCACAAACTAGTGTACTGCTGCTGCTTTATCAGACAGCATTCAGCTGGCAACAGTTTCTCCACACCTTCAGAAGTGGATTTTTGCCCACCAACTTAGTTTTGTAAGTGTCCATTTCTTATGGAATGGGATGTTAACCATTAAAATTATATATAAAAAAAAACATTGGTGATTTCTAGGTATTGGAAACCTTGGTGAGGACAAGTATGGTCTCAAATGTGGGGAAATGACATGTTAAACCCATTGCTGCTAAGCTATAGGCACCAACAAAAGTGAGAATCCCATTAGGAATCCCTAAGTGAAGCTGACTTATAAGCAATTAACTTTCTCTTAGTGTGTCTGAAGTTGCAGTTTTCAGCCACTCAGTCACATGGCAGTATTCATTTATACACTGTCAAAAAAGCATTTATTTTGATCAAGGCAACAATGATATATACCAGCACGGGTCTGTAGCAGGTAGATCATGCCTGACTAATCTAGTCTCTTTATGACCAGGTTACAAAACACCTTGACACAAGAGTTAGGGGTTGAGATCATTTACTTAGACTTCAGGAAGGCCTTCAATATGGTATCCCACCCCATACTGGTGAACAAGTTAAGAGGCTGTGACTTGGATGATTACACAGTCTTGTGGTGGCAAATTGGCTAGAGGGTCGTACCCAAAGAGTGGTAGTGGATGGGTTGGTATCGACCTGGAAGGGCGTGGGTAGTTGGGTCCTGCAGGGCTCGGTCCTTGGACCGATACTTTTCAACGTCTTCATCAGTGACTTGGACTAGGGAGTGAAGTGTAGTCTGTCCAAGTTTGTGGATGATACAAAACTGTGGGGAGAAGTGGATGCACCAGAGGGCAGGGAACAACTACAAGCAGACCTGGACAGGTTGGACAATTGGGCAGAAAACAATAGAATGCAATTTAACAAGGAGAAATGCAAAGTGCTGCACCTAGGGAGGAAAAATGTCCAGCACACCTACTGCCTAGAAAATGACCTGCTCGGTAGCATGGAAGCAGAAAGGGATCTTGGGAGTCCTAGTGGACTCCAAGGTGAACATGAGTCGTCAGTGTCACAGAGTCATCAGAAAAGCTAACTGCACTTTATCATGCATCAGCAGATGCATGACAAGCAGAACCAAGGAGGTGATACTTCCCCTCTATCAGGTGCTGGTCAGGCTGCAGTTGGAATACTGCGTGCAGTTTTGGGCACCACACTTCAAGAAGGATGTAGATAACCTGGAGAGGGTCCAGAGAAGGGCCACTCATATGATTAAGGGCTTGCAGGCCAAGCCCTACAAGGAGAGACTAGGGCACCTGGACCTCTTCAGCCTCCGCAAGAGAAGGTTGAGAGGCGACCTTGTGGCTGCCTATAAATTCATTGTGGGGGCACAGAAGGGAATTGATGAGGCTCTACTCACCAAGGTGCCCCTGGGGGGGTCACAAGAAATAATGGCCATATGCTAGCAGAGAGCAGATTTAGACTGGACATTAGGAGGAACTTCTTCACAGTTAGAGTGGCCAAGGTCTGGAATGAGCTCCCAAGGGAGGTGGTGCTTTCCCCTACCCTGGGGGTCATTAAGAGGAGGTTGGATGGGCATCTGGCTGGGGTTATCTGAACCCAGCACTCTTTCCTGTCTAGGCAGGGGGTTGGACTCGATGATCTATTGAAGTCCCTTCCAATCCTAACATCTATGAATCTATGAACCTATACAAAATAAATTGGTATGTCGATTTTGTGCAATTCTACTTATTTAGGGGGAAAACATTTTAAAAAACAAATTATCACACCCCACAAATGGTAAAAATTACTGTTTCTGTAATACAGTTTAGGTCATTGAATGAACTCTTGTATTTACTAGAATAGCATTTATAGGAGTCTATACATAGATTTAATTCTTTACAAATGCCAGATCTTACTGGGGATTCCTTTTTGTAATTTCAGTTATGGAAGTTGGTAAAAAAATCGGTTTCTTAACCTGGCAAAAACTAAAGAAGAAAAGGATAGCTGTTCTTTACCTTGCAAAAATGATAAGTTCAAAAAGAGGTCTGTTCATTTGTAATGGGATACTCAGTGCATGCTGTAAGATAGTGAGGAGAGAGGAGAAAGCTAGTGTTCTCTTTGGCTTT